TGCTCAGTGGTGATCCAACTATTTTCATTTGCCACACCTATTATGTCATTATATGGTATAACTACCTTTTTTTCCTCATGCATTGTACGGGTTTTTCTTTAATTTTTTATATTGAAATTTAGATTTTTTTTTATCAACTCTTGAGTTTTATGATAATTTTTAATTAAAAAATTCTAATTAAGTAATTAAAATTGAGTTAAAAATTGCGTTCATAATTAACAAGAGTATTTAAAAAAAATTGTATATAACCACATTAAAAAAAAAAGAAGAATATTAAGATAATTCAAAAAACACTCAATGTTAATTTTTATCTCATAATTTAAATAAATCTATTTTTTCTACTATTATTCTATTTAAAGATTTCGACAATATTCTCTCTTCTCTCAATTAAAGAACTACAATACACTTAAATAGGATCAAATACCTCTGTGTTGCATATGCATTGTATGGGTTCATTTTAATGTTCTTTTTTCAATATTAAATAAAAAAATTGATATACCTTTTTAAAATATGACTTAAATTAAATAATTTAAACATATATATCTTATAGTCAAATTTTGAATTAGAAAAAAAAAATCTTTTTAGAATTTGTTGTTAAGAATTGAAAAAACTTTAAGATTTTGTTATCAAGAATTAAAAAAATCCTAAACTCACTTACAGGATTTTTTTTTTTTTTTTTGCTTTCAATGTTTAACATTCTTAAGTATTCACTTTCTCTTAAGTATGCTTGGTATGCTTAGTATTTTATGAATTAATATTTTTCATTTCTTAACCCATTCTTCCTTGGTTTAATATAAATATAATGGAAAATAAAATGAATATACTGGTTTAATATATATCAAATATTTAAATAAAAATGTATATTACTCCCATTTAATGAGAATATATAAGGATAGCTTTAGAAATTGTTTTAATACATATTTATACTTTAATTTTTATTATTATTGATGTTGTTATTATTATTATCATTAAATAACAATTTCAAAATATGTGTTAAGAAAAATAAAAATAAAGCATAGAGGGAACGAAATTTAGGCCTTCCTAGCAAAAAAAAAAAAAAAAAAGGGAAAGCCAAGATGGCCATAAACGATGTCGTTTTGATAAAAAGCCAAATCTTCCCCTTCTCTCTAAATCCCTTCCTACTAAATCCCATTCCCATCGTTTCTTCCACTGCTCAACTTATCCTTAAATCCTTCTCTCTTACTGGAAATCATTGTTCTAAATACTATGTGTTGGTCATTGTCGGTCGTGCACAGCGGACCAGCCCTTCCTATGTAAAATCCAACTCCTTTTGAGAAAATAAATAGCATAGGCCCCATCTTTAGACCCATTCAAGACTCTGTCTATTAGAGCTTTTTTGCCTCCACAAATTTACAAATTTTTAGCTGCAGTTTTCTGTTCAAACCATTATGAATCCACAAAAATGGACTTGGGTTTTGAAGCCTCTTTTTCTTAAATTGAGGTTGAAGATTAGAGATAGCTTACAAGTCAAAAAATATTCAATTTTATGAACAAAAATGAGCTTCATCCTCACGTTAAAGAGTCACATTAACCAAGTCTCTCTAATTTTACAATGTAAAGATCACTAATTTCAGATTTTGACATTAGGAGAATCAAAATTAAAATTCCAATCCAAATTTAGAATTTTAATTTTAGAAACTAAAACTGAATAATTGGAAGAAAAATCAAAGAAATGGAGGAATAGAAGGTGCTCAGAAATTGTTTTTTTTTTTTTTTTTTTTGATCAGCCAAATAAAAAC